GTTGGGAGGTTTGGTGAGTGGGACACAGGAGGATATCACTGGCATTCCTGTGGTGAAGGAATTCCTCGAGGTGTTCCTGAGGAGATTCCTGAGTTTTCGCCGCAGCGGGAGATAGCGTTCTCCAGTGAGTTGTTGCCTGGTGTGGGGTCTATTGCATTAGTCCCATACCGGATGTCGCCACCAGAGTTGGCCGAGTTTATGTTGTGTTCTAAGGGTCTTTCGGTGAAAGACTTCTTCGACCGAGTGTGTCTCCTTGGGAGCACCAGTCATTTTGTTGTAAGGTAGGATGCCTTACGCCATTACTTAAGCGTGATGGTGCTCTGTTTGAGGATGTGAAATTCTCTTCAGGGAAACTGAGTGTGTAACACTTAGAATTGGTGGCAAGGCCACATGTGATCTTGTATATGCGAGGCAGTGCATGTACAAGTAGCTTGTGAGTTGCGTGGTCTCCATGACTCTAGGATCTTATGTTGAGTTTGTTATGCTTCGTAAGTAGATGGCATGTTAACACCAGGGGTAGTGTTAAGCATGAAATGAGTACCATGAACTGTGCTAATAAATCAATATTATTTCACCTCTGACTAACTCTCAATTTTGCAGATACCACGGAGATTGAGGTATACCGTTACATAGAGTTTTGTTTTAGCTAATATGTTATTGAAATTGAAATTTTGCAGGTGTACGTGAATTAAGGTACGTTATATGTAAATAAGTTGGTTAACTAACAAGTATTGGTGGAATTGAACATGATTATGAGTTAGTACTTTGAAATGTATATGAATTTATTTTGAGGATATTGATTGAAATTGCTAGTCTTGTTGAGGTTAGAGTCATGGAATAAGACCCAACTCACTCGCGTGTTGTGTAGTGTGAGTTTGTGGGGTAGGTCACCTCTATTGAGGGAATGACTGAGGATCCCAGAGAATCAGATGACGTTGTGACGTCATTGTGAAACTTCGAGTTCTGACGGTGACCTCTTTGTTTGAGGATGCACTTCTCGAGTTTGAGACTGTGAGAGTCAGGAAGGCGCTCTTGGAGAAGATCCACGAGGCGTTTTTGCAGAGAGAGTGTCTCGATTGCGTGAAGAACCAAGACGGTGTGTCTTGGAATGAAGATGGACTTCTGTTGTTTCAGAAGCGGATTGTGATTCCTCGAGGTCCGTTGACCGAAGAGGTTATGGAAAAGGGCCATAAGGGACAGTTTACTGTTCACCCTGGTGCTACTAAGATGTTTCAAGACTGGAAAAGAAATTCCTGGTGGCTAGGAATGAAGAAGGACACAACTGCGTATGTGTCCAAGTGTTTGATTTGTCAGAAAGTGAAGATTGAACACCAGAAGCCGTCTGGTAAACTTCAACCTCTTGAGATTCCAGAGTGGAAATGGGAGAGCATTTCCATGGACTTCGTTGTGGGTTTCCCGAAGACTCAGGTTGGTTGTGACTCGATATAGGTCATTGTGGACAGACTGACGAAGTATGCCCAATTTCTTCCAGTGAAGGTAAGCTTCACTACAGAGCAGTTGGCCAAACTGTATGTTCGCGAGATTGTGAGGCTTCACGGGGTGCCCGTGAGTATCATCAGTGATAGGGACCCGAAGTTCACATCTCGGTTCTGGGAGGCGCTGCAGGGAGCTTTAGGTACCCAGTTGAGACTGAGTACAGCCTATCACCCTCAGACTGATGGACAGACTGAGCGTACTATCCAGACCTTGGAGGACATGTTGCGGGCTTGCACGTTGGAGCAGGGCTCGGCATGGGATAGGTACCTTCCATTGGTGGAGTTTTCGTATAACAACAGTTTTCATGCTAGCCTGGGCATGGCACCCTACGAGGCGCTCTACGGTAGGAGGTGTTGTACACCTACCTGCTGGTCGGAGGTTGGGGATCGTGAGTTGTTTGGCTTGGACTTTGTCCAAGATACCACCCTGCAGATCCAGATGATTAGGGAAAAATTGAAGCAGTCGCAGAATCGTCAGAAGAGCTACTACGATGTCAAGCATCGACCACTGGAGTTCAGTGAGGGTGAGCACGTGTTTGTGAGACTTTCACCTGTCACCGGTGTTGGACGGGCACTCGGAGTGAGGAAGCTGAGCCCGCGGTTTATTGGGCCATACCAGATTCTTGGTAGAGTAGGACCTGTTGCCTACCGGCTTGCCTTGCCTCCGAACCTGGCTAACATCCACGACGTGTTTCACGTGTCTCAGCTTCGGAGGTACATAGCAGATCCATCGCATGTGGTGCAACCGGATGATGCGGAGGTTCGGGAGAACCTAAAGACTCCCATCGGACCACTAAAGATTCTCGATCGTGGCGAGAAGCAGCTGAGGAGCAAGATCATTCCGATGGTCAAGGTGCAGTGGACCGGAAGGACTCCTGAGGAGTGTACTTGGGAGCGTGAGGACGAGCTTCTCCGGCAATACCCCGAGTTTCGACCAGGTATGTTTCTGATTTTGAGGACAAAATCCTAAAAAGGTGGGGTGAATGTAAGAACCCGCACCGTTAATTAAGAATTTAATTCATTAATTATGAGGAAATAGGAAATGATTCCATAATTGACCCTAATAATTATTATGAAGCTCTAATAATTATAGTAAGTGAGTTATATTGCTGAAAGTCACTTTTCGGAAGAAAAGTGCAGATACCGGTTCTGCTAGTCGGTATAATTGCATACCGGAAAAGTATCCCGGAAAATTATGAAAAGTGGTTATATATTATGGGAATAATATATAGGACTTGGAAAACGAGTTCCAAGTCAAAATAATGAGAACTGGTGCTAGAAACTGGTACTGGCTTGGAAAAGCGCGTTCCAAAAAGGTGCTCAGAAAATTATAAGAAAAATATGATAATTCTTAGAAAATTGTCTAGTTTCAGAATCCAAAAGTTTGGGATTAAAATGCTAAGCGTAGCAATTAAAGCTAATACTGTGTGTTAGTGGGTTAAATAACTATATATACTCTTGTTATGGGCACAAAGCCCTAGGTTACATTTTCTCTGCGTGAGTTGAAGGGTGGCTGGTCTGTCTCCACTGTTCCATTGGCCTTGTCACCATTCCTTGAGTCAAGAGATCACCTTGGGTGGCATTCCTTGCATGTTGAACTTGTAAACACTTGGGAAACACCTTGAGAGTGAGTGGGTGGTTTGATTTCTGAGTTATTGAGTCTGTGTGAGGGAGATTAATTGCTGTTTGGGCATTTTTGGAGCTGACTTGGAGAGTTTTGGGCTTGTGTGGCCTTGTTCTTGGTTTCTTAAGTTCCAAGAAGCTACCTTTTGTTTAAAGGATCAAACTTGTTGTACAAATTCGTGCCTTGTTCAAGTCAGAACTGAAGTGCTGTGTAGGAGACCCTGAGTGTGTCTCATTTTCGGAGTTTTGGTGCCTTGGAGGTATACCATGATCACTCTTTGTCATTTTGGAGTTTAAAGCTTGTTTAATCAATTAAAAAGAGGAACTTTAACCTTTTGAGTAAAAGAATGTGTTTATGGGTCCCTTGTATGTTTGGGAATATCTGTTTTGGGAGTTTATGGACTCCCAATCGTGTTTGGACCCTTAAATTTGGGATTATGCAGAAGTTGGTTCGAATTTCTGTATTCTGTTGAAGAAGTATTTGAATACTTTTCGTGTAGTATTCGAATACTTGCTCATCAGGTAGTCGAATACTCCTTGCAGGAGTATTGGAATACTTTTCTGGGAAGAAAAGTATTCGGATACCTTTGAAGAAGTATTCGAATACTGGAAAGTATTCGAATACAGTAAGGTTTGGTATTCGGATACTGAGGTATTCGGATACTGGGAGGCAAAGTATTCGGATACTTGTATGCGAATACTTTAATGAAAGTAATCGAATACTTTCTGGAGAGCTGGAGTATTCGAATACTACCCGTGGAGTATTCGAATACTTCCTGCAGAAACAACATGTAATGAGTTAAAATGAGTAAGAAACACTTAATAACCGAAGGTAATCTGAGCCATGATTATTGATGATTAATTATGGTGTGGACAGATTGTGATTGTGCTGTTTGTGGGCCTTGAGCTGTGGACTCTTGGTTTGGATAGCTAGCTTAGAGGTAAGATTTCGTGTCCTCGGTTTAGCCATGTTGTGGTTCCACCATGTCCCATGGGGGTATGGTTTATGCATGCTGTGTATATGCTTTTGGATATTTGTTATGTTGAATGAACTTTACATGTAATGGCTTTTAATATGCATATGTTGTTTCATCTTGACGGGAAGCCTGAGTATGTAGCGCCATACAAGACGGTGTACCGGGGTGAATGCAAGTGGTACTTGCACGGTGTGTAGGTGATAGACGTATACCTACACTGTCTCTGGCCAGTAGATTAGTATTGACACACATGGCATGACTATCTGCTGCATTGCATTGTTTTAGAAATGATAAATGATAAACTGCTTTGAACTTATATTGCACATGTAAGTGAGCTTGGGGTTGAAGATCCTTGAGGATTCACTGACTTACTGAGATTTCTAGATTAGAGATCTTACCCCACGTTTGGGGAATGCTTATTTCAGGATCAGGTAGTATGGGTACTGATGCCTCAGGCGGCAGGAGGCCGGAGCTTAGCTGATTATGTTTACTGCTTTATGTTAGCATGACTGGATTTGGATGCTGTTTATGTTTTCCGCTATTTATGATTATGTTGTGATTGAGACTGATGTTGAGCATTGTTGCCTTATTTGGGTGAGCATGGGAGTTGTCCATGCCACTATGTTGTTGGTACTCTTGAGTTGAGTTGTATAAACTGTTAGATGGTCCGGTCTACGTTGTTGTAGTTTCGTGACTAGAGCCACATTTTGACTAACTATGTTATGAGGTATTTCAGATAGCTGTTTTATTGCAATTACATACAGGCGATGTTTTATTAATTGATTATAAAGCAAGTTGGTAATGTTAATGTCATCATAATTTAAAAGAAAAAGTAATTCCGCATTTTTAATTAAGCGCAACTTAATACGATATTATGATAACATTACCGGATATATACGGAGTGTTACACCTTCCAAGTGAAATAAGGACCAAAAGTGTTTAAGTCTTCCACATGAAAACTATTGAGAAAATCAGAAAACCGACTGCATCTTGCACTATCTGGAAAAGATCCTCCTTTCTTTTCATTACTACTTCTGATATCATTAAAATCACCTAACATAATCCAAGGAACATTAATGGAGTTGCTAATATGAGAAATATCATCCCACATCACATGTCTTTCAACGTCACGGGGACTTGCATAAACAGCAGTGCATAAAAATTCTCTAGAATTATTCATCAGAACCTTCATATGCAAAAACTGGGATGATTGGGAAATTCTTTGCACCGTAACACAGTTGGAGCCCCATATAGCCCAAATCCCACCAGAAAAACCCACCGCTTCCTCAACAAAGATCTGATCAAATCTAAGTTTCTTCATCAAACTTTTACTCTTAACGTTACTGGTTCGAGTCTCCATTAGCACCACCATGCAAAAAACATGTTTATCCACTATCATTTTAAGAGTACGACCCAAATTAGACTTGGCTGCACCCCTACAATTCCAAGATAGCAAAGACATCAACGAGATTTTTGAATTTTTGCAGAGTGAGATTGCACCTGTGACAATTTACTGGAAAAAGACTTCCCTACTCCTCGTTGACCAGATGATGCTTTACTTCTGCTAGAAACTGAAGCTGTCTTTGGGATCCGGAGGCTTAGGATCTTGAGATAACACAGTTACACTAAGGGATGGATCCCTACAAGTTTTCTGAGCCTTCGCAGAGTCATCAAAAGAATTCTCATTCCCAACATTATCAGTATACATCACAACAGGACTCTCATGACATAGAGTATCAATCGAGCCCAAATTTTTATTAATACCGTGTTGTATCTTTGTAGGACTTCCTATGGTATCCTTAGAAATAGACTTTTCCTCCATATTTGCATCCCCAACACCATCTCCCACCAACTTGAAAGCAGTTTTTGTCTCTATTAGCTGAACTCGGTCATTAACACCATGTTGCGTATCTTTACTTGGACTCTTGGCTAGATCCCGAACCCTATGTAAATTGTCCTCCCCAAGCCTATCTGTGCTCAACTTACCAATATTGTGGCCTTCTTCCGAAGTCTCAGATTTAGTTGCTGCAGCAACTATTTTAAGATGCTTCTCTTCAGTGCTTTTTTGTATACTATTATCAGACTTCCTTTCCACATGTTTTTCGTTTTTTTCCTCGAAACTACCATCCAAGTACCGAAATTAGGTTGATTAGTCTCCCCAGGAATTTCAACATACTGCATATTACTGTCCAGAATTGTATTATTCATAGACACCTCGCCATTGGTCACAGTCACAGGTTCCTTTGGTGCATTGGGGAAAAGCTCCGTTCTATGCCCATATTTCCCACACTTGTAACATATTAAATGAAGACCTTCATACTCCACCTGCTTATACCTTCGCTCTACATAATAGACAGACTTTAGTGGCTGGCTAATATCCAGTTCGACGCAAATCCTGGCAAATTTTCCCCTGGCAAGATTGGTTGATGTTGCATCCTGTCGAATGAACTTCCCCAACCAATTACCAACACTCTTCATTAAGGGAGTATTAATATATTCCACAGGAAACCCAGGTAATCGGACCCAAGCAGTGATCTTGCTAATGGGGGAGCTAAACGCTTGAAAATCGGGCTCCCATGATATGATGAACAAATAATGATCAAATATTAACCATGGCCCAGCAGCTAAAACAAATTTCATATCTTTTTTTGCTTCAAAACTGACTAAGAAAAAATCATTCTCAATGTCAGTTACATGAATTTTCCCATCCCTTTCCCACATATTCTCCAACCGTTTCCTCATGAAATTTATTGAGAGATTTTTCCCCAGCAGTTTGACAATCAACGATTTCTTCCATGGCTTCCAAGCTGTCTTTTTGAAACTGTCTGAAAGCTTGAAGTTCGGAGAACCATCCTTACGATACTCCAAAGTGACATCCTCCAAAGATAGAGCCTTTTTTCCTTCATCTACAGCCCTATCCTGCAGCAGCATCTCGGCATCATCCTTCTCTTCTGAATCAGTCTCTGATCTCTATTCTCCATTACTTCTCATAAGGATCTCCTTAAAACTTGACTGACCATCCATCCATTTTTCATCTCTAGGAACCCTCGAAAGATTACTTGAGAAGGAATCATCACCCTTGTACTTTTTGTTACTTCTTTGAAGGTTGTCCACCTCCTCCGACGTTAATTCTCAAACAGTTGACGGTTGCATGTTAAGAACGTAAAGAAAACCCTAGGGATACTATGAAACCCTAGCAGAGTGCTATTGCCATTTTGATTTCAATGGCATCTCATATATATATATATATATATATATATATATATATATATATATATATATAAATTATTCGAACCCTACTTGTGCGTTTGCGTCAAATTGTAAATTCGAACCCTACTTGTTCGTTTGTGTAACACCCCGTATATATCCGGTAGTATTAACATTACATCGTATTAAGCTACGCTTAATTAAAATTACGGAATATTCTTTTTCTTTTCAATTATGACGTCATTATACTTAGCCAACTTGCTTACTTAATCATATTTCATAAAATATCGCATGAATGTAAATTGCAATAAGACATCTACTGAAATACCTCAATATATAAATAAAGTGAGTATCTAAGTCACGGTATTACAGCACGTAATCCGGACAATATCCTGATACATTAATACAACTCCAATAACTCAAATAAGACAAAGCATAAACGAAGCTGTGTGGCATGGACAATCCCCATGCTCACTGTAACATCCCAAGAGCTGGCAAGGGCAGGGAGTGATCGCCGGTGCGAAAGGGCACGGACAATGAGCGGCTCATGCCAAATCTTGCAGCTTGGGGGTTCATGAATGAATCGAATCAATACCCGAAAGAGAGGGATTCCAGAGACTATGCTGGTATGGAGCGGTACAGTTAGGAATGACTTATAAGAATTAATTGGTACTACCTATACTAACAAGATGCATCTACTTTTCAGTAGCCCAGATCGGAAGAACTCCACAGTTAAGCGTGCTTGACTTGGAGCAATTCTGGGATGGGTGACCTCCTGGAAAGTTTTCCCGGGAAGTGTGCGAGTGAGGACAAAACACACTGAAAAGTCTCGTGTTAGTTTGTGGGGACAGTCATTGATTCTTGCAAGTGGTCGGGCCTCACAAGTGGTATCAGAGCAGGGCCTCTCTTCCAGTACGGTGTGGTTCGAGGACGAACCAGGCGGAAGCTGGTGGGCATGTAACATCCCAAGAGCTGGCAAGGGCAGGGAGTGATCGCCGGTGCGAAAGGGCACGGACAATGAGCGGCTCATGCCAAATCTTGCAGCTTGGGGGTTCATGAATGAATCGAATCAATACCCGAAAGAGAGGGATTCCAGAGACTGTGCTGGTATGGAACGGTACAGTTAGGAATGACTTATAAGAATTAATTGGTACTACCTATACTAACAAGATGCATCTACTTTTCAGTAGCCCAGATCGGAAGAACTCCACAGTTAAGCGTGCTTGACTTGGAGCAATTCTGGGATGGGTGACCTCCTGGGAAGTTTTCCCGGGAAGTGTGCGAGTGAGGACAAAACACACTGAAAAGTCTCGTGTTAGTTTGTGGGGACAGTCATTGATTCTTCCAAGTGGCCGGGCGTTACAGGCCACTACATGGGTATCATCTGTAACACCCTTAATGAGGCCATCAAAGGTGTAACATTGCTTGACATTCAATGCGCGGAATCTATGTACTTTTAAGCGTGGTTAACTTAAAATTTACTAATGTTCATTCCCCTAACTTATCTATTCCTCTAGTCATGAGTTTCTCTTTTTCTTTGTCTACGGTCTACTTACCAATTAATCTCTACTTGGTTACCCTACTTATACTTGTGCGCTATTTTAGGAGCTCACTTACATGATCATAATTTTAGTGTTGACTACTACCCAGTGGGTAGTTACTTAAGTGTCTTATGCGGATAATGGCTTATGTTACTTAATCTTTCCTACTAAATTCATAAGTCCATAAAAACATAAACATCCCAAAATATCGTACTTCAAAGGCATATAAGATGTTCAAAATAATCTAAGTGGCATAGTCTATTACAGTCATCCCAAATTAGAACTTAGGTGCACCCTTAGGAAGGTGCCTCTTCAAGCCACATGGGCCCAGCTAGAGCAGATATAAGATAGTCTGCCTCCAAGAGCTTTCCTTCGGCTAGTAAGTTCCTAAATATCTCCGTTAGTTTGGAGTCATTGTCAACTGCACATGGTTGCGCAGGTTCCTCTTCAACTCGTACCAGCCTCTTTCCCTGCCTTACCCATTTAGTCATTTTTTCCTGAAAGTGGGTTTCCCCAAAGAGGGGTGAGATTGGGGGTCTCAGTAAGGACTCACAGTTGGAGCAACCTCCAAACCATGATGCTTACTCCTGCAATAGTCACATAATAACATGTACAATAATAGAATGGAAAAACATTGGAAACATAGTTTGGAAAATAATCATGCTTTCATATCATCATACCAATCCTGCCATGGCAATTACTCTCCATGGTCTTATGGACGAATACCCAGGGTCCTCGTCAGGTTGCCTCTGTGGTATTAGTGCACAGGCCATCTTACAAAACTTGCATGAATAAACATTAGTTCCAAACAACCAAACATATCATGTAATGCATCATATAACATATTGCAGTCAAACCTCACTTTAACATAAAGGGGTGGCAACCATAGGGTAGCCACTTCAACAACCATAAATCACTTACCCTTTTTCGCTTTGTAAATTCTTCCCGTAGGTGATGGATTCGGCCAAATGAAGGTCCTAGTATCTTGGATCTCTTTTCAAGCTTTGGTTTGTCCTAGCCACATATTCAACCTTAGTACATGGTTCTAAAATTAAAAGATCTAAAATTTAATATTCTTCATGTCATAGGTTCGGCTCTCTAAGGATGAAAATGCCTAGGAGATAATTTTTACTAATTGTTTTCATGCATAAGTCATATTCTATGGCATACATTTCGGCCTCACATCATGGTATTAAGAAAACCTTCACATATTTCCCTTTTAGGCTTATTAGGGTTCGGCCATTTAGAGGGTGCATGCCTAGGGATAATTTTGACAACATGTTCATGGGTCTAATACTCATCAAGTTCGGCCATTTAGGGTTAATGCCATTTAGGTGGTGATTCTTCAAGTAATGCTTTCCTACATGTTGTTTAAGAATATTTACTTCAACACTTTTCATATTACCTTAAAGAACATATTCAATATCTAGTAGGGTACATATAGATTCGGCCATTTAGGGTTAGGTTGCTTAATAAATATTGTGAATATTTAGAGGGTGCATGCATACCTTTGAGGTTCGGCCATTTAGAGATGATATACTTAAGAGGTGATTTTAAAGATGAAAGATGCATGCATGACTTTATTAGTCCAATATCTAGTCATATAAACTAGTTAGAGTTCATTCTACTCACTTGAAGGGATAAAAGGGTTCATGAAATCTTACCTCAAAGATGATGTCTAAAATATAACTCCAACCTGATCTTCAAGTAGTCT